GGCTGTGGACCAGGGGTGACTATGCTCCCACCCAAGGTACACTTGCTAAGTCGAGACATATTTTTAAGAATGGGAGCCACCCACAGATCCCGCTAAACACTGACAATATCCTGGACCTGAAACACCTACACTCCCTGGACAAACACCTATCTAGCCCCAAATGCCAATAGTGCCAAGTTTTGGAAACCAGAGCTAAAAGCCTCTGTCAGGACACTCGCTCCTTGTGATCTGCTGCCCCAAGTCTCAGCGTTTCTGACTCTAGGAAGCTCTATGCCTTTATAGATTTCAAGATTGTTTTCTGATAAATTAGAATAAAGGAAAAAGAAATGACAGTAATCATTTGGATTTTTTTTAAAAAAGAAAAGTTTATTAGGATATTCTGGGGTAGAGGTGGCCAAATGGACTACGTACACTCTGTAGTGCTAACAGAAAATTCAAACATCACAAACCACTTCCAAAGTTCAGACAACAAAACTTGTACTTCTACGCGTAGATGTTCTTCCGTGGATGCTAGCAAGAGAGCATGTTGCAAATAGCTGTGTGAGGAAGAGGTGTAGGCATAACCCTGGGAAAACACACAAGCGTCCTCTGGAAACCAGACATACAGATGTAAGAAAAACGGACCATCCTCTGGAAGCAGAAGACTCTAGAACACAATCTAGCCAGGAAATCCTTTACAGAGCTCGCTTTGCCCATCTGCTACAGCCCCGAGGAGCTTGGATGTCTGGACCTCTTGCCCAGGGCAGAATTCTAAAAATGTCCCCCAAATCAGAAGGCTTCTTCTATTTCACCTGTATTGTTAGTATTGTTAACCTCATGAAATAGAAAGAACAGCAGCTGAGACATACCCTCAGGTTCAGAGTAAAAACTGCAACACCGTCCAAAAGTACAAGAAAAAGAAATCTGCCATCCTAAGTCTCACACAGCTTCTCAGCAGGAGTTAGATTAAACAGAGAAAATAATTTCAATATCAAGGGATAATACACACAAGACTGGAAAACTCTTTCAAGCAGGCTCCGTGGTGAGAAGTGTTTCCCCACTCCCTTGGGTGAGGGGAGGGAGAAGAAGAGAAAAAGACAGATAATTAGGAGAACTATAAGGCTCTGGACTTCAGGTTTCTGAAACCATTTCTTCAATCCTCTGAGGACAATCAGCTATTTCTGATTCTGAAAAAAACACATCAGAAGTGCCTGATTACAGGAAGACCACTGCCAAATAAGGCAGGGCAGTCTGCGATCTGGTGCTGGGATTTCCATTCTCTTTTCCCCCATTTCAGAAATGCCTTCAGCTAAAGCTGGACAATAAAAGCCCAAATTCCAGATCAAGAATGCTTTGCAAGCCCAGAAGAAAATGCTGGATCATATAGCCCTGCAGGAGAGAAAGGGGGTAAGGGGAGGGAGAGAGAGGGGCAGGGGGAGAGAACAGAAAGAGGAAGGGGGCCTTTGTTGATTGAGCCTTATATTCCAGTGTGCTGGAAAGCCCAGGACTTTCACTCATCCCTGCATTAGCCGCTCTGACCTGGCCCCAGGGACCAAGCCTTACTGGCTTCTAAAGTCCTTGGGGTTTGTATACTGGGCCATCCTCTAGATTTTACAATTCTTCATCCTCCCTCACTCTAGTATTCTGATCTCTTCTATGCTGTTTGGTGGGCAGCAGGGGTCACTGCACATTTCAGGGTTTGCTCTTTTGAATGCACTCTGTTGCCTGTGTGCTGGCCTCAGCTCCAGCAGCTCCAGTGTCTCAGTCCCAACCGCACCATGGCTGCTAACTGGCACTGTAACAGTTCCATCGCCTCTGAGGCCAGGTCACAGCCTCTAAGGGCCTGAGGAGCAATGCCTGGTTTCTCACTTGGGTTGCTGGAGTGGATGTTTAGGATCAGGCTGAGGGAAAGTGGGTTTGCCTTCTCCATCCTGAGTGAAGTGGGTTTGCCTTCTCCATCCTAAGTGAACTGGGTTTGCTCTTGTACTCGTGGGGACTGGAATTTAACTCCTGGGAGACCAAGTCAGAAAAAACAGGTTCATAGACTCTTTATAGAAACAAGGGTGTCAAGCTGAAGGATTTTTCCAATCTGAGAAGATAAGTGTTTCCCAATTTGGGGGAAACTGGTGTTAAAGGGCTCAATAGTCTCACATGAGTTGTGAGGAAGCTTCAGCTCTAAGTGATGGGCCATCCAGCCAGAGCACTTGCTCAACATATGTGCTGAATTGATCAGCACTTGACTCATTCTCAGGGTACTAAAGGAGAGGTTGTCATCCCTCGGAGTGAAGTGGTCCAGCTTTCCTGGCTATATCCTGTCCTGTGCTTGAGGCAGATTAAAATCTCTGCAGACTTGGGGACAAGTGCTAGCTTTTTGTGTCTCGAAGTTGGTGTAAGTTGAGCACTTCCTTGGACCTTTTTCCCCAGGTCATCCTCAATATCTCAGGAGAACAAATTCAGTGTCAACAAAGCTCAATGACAGTATAACTACACAAATGGGCCAGGTTTCGTCACTGTGTGACAGAATGATGCCCTTCGATGTGCCAACATTTTTCATGCAACTAGCATTTTTCAAATGCCACTATGGTCATACAGTCTGCTTGGGAAGGCTGGCGAGCAGGAAGAGATGTCAGGATTGAGGAGGAAGCTGACAATGTCTGGCTGGCCGCCTGGTACTCTCCACAGCACAAAAATGGGGACTGGTAAGAAAGCCCAGCCTGCAAGGAACAGAGGAAAATCAGAGAAAACCTTCCATAGATGCGGGTGCTGGGCTTGGCAACTGCCCTTGAGCAAAAATAAACTCCCCATGGCAGTGGGACAAGATGCTGATATTGGCACCTGCCAGAGGCAGACAGCCGAAGTCGCAGCTGCGCTGGTCCAATGAGCTTGGAGGCGTTAGGGGGCCGAGGCCTCAATGACTAGTAACAGGCTGCGGTGCTCCACAGTCAGTTTATTGAAATAGAGTTTGTGCGCCTTCCCCGCCTCCCTGGGCTGGGTCTCAGTGCCATCAGAAGTGCAGGTGGCTCATCCCGCTGAGCAATCACCCCAAGCAGCCTCTGGGAAAAAGGAGAGGCTCATCTGAGAACACATGGAACAACAAAGAGATTCCTGGGGAGGATGCAGCAGGCAGGATAACCCAATGCAAGGAAGGAAGAGCTCAGCGGAAAGGTAGGGAGGTGAACTTCTGCCTTGAATATTAGCATCATCTTTGTATCATCTGGCTTCTGAAACTTCTTCTCCAACGAAGTGGGCATCTGATGGAACAAGAATGTTCTTTGCCAGTGCTAAACTTACAGTGATAGGGTGAAGACTGGATAGGAAGGGACCCTGCTAAATACTTAGGAATAAAGAACAAGGATGAAGGTAGAGGCTCAATAACCAATACGAAAGTGAACTGAGCCAGTCAATATCTCAAGACAGCTGTCCTGGGGTGTGTGCGTGGGGGGAGGCATGCTACAGAATACATACTGGGATGTGCAAAGCCCACAGATTTAAGGCCTCTGCAGTGAGAATATTAATCAAAGGTAGAATTCTCACAAAGGGTCATAGACAACAGACTGAAAACGAATGGTCACTCAAGAAAAGCTGCGTCAGAGTCAAGAGGAGTCAGATATATACATGAGATTTCTGTCTCCAGATAAGAGAAAAATGTAGCTTGTAAGGGTGTCCAATCAAATCCCTAGCTGTTTTATTTAAGAATTTCTAAAAAGAAATTCCTTCCCCTGTCATCCAGAAATTTACTGGTATTTCTGGCTTCCTTTTCGTAAAGGAACCACTGCATATTTCAAGGAACTCTGGGTTCTTCACTAGGTTAAGGCTCCTATCCTGCTCACTAAGAGACATGCACAGACTGCAAGACCCACTGGCCTATTGTACACGGCCTCTTATTGCACCGCAGTTTTGCTTTGTCTCTCCAAACTCTCCAAGCTCAGGGCAGATGGGCATTCTGCTGTCATGGTGCCTGGGCCAATGGTAATTCACTCCCATCTGTTGCCACTGCCTCTAGTCTTTCTTGGAAAGATAGGTTTCCTATGATCTCATTTGCTTCAGCAAAGAGGAGAAGCAAAGGCAACAGAGATCATGGAGGTGTGAATCCAGGAGATCAAGAACAGCACTGAAAGAGAATTAGAAAATGTGAACTCATTTAAGTAGCCCTTTTCTGGCCTACAGTTTACAGACTCAAATAAGTCACGCATGTCTAACGACAGGAAGGAAAACTTATTTTCCAAAAGACAGCTCTTCTGAGGCCACTATTTTGTAAATAATAACTTACATACATTTATGCTGGATTCTAAGAAAAGAATTTGTTAATTATGTAAACTCCCACTGCTCTTACATCTCTTTTGCCAAGCTGGGCCGGGGATTTAGCTCAGTGGTTTCGCCGCCTGCTGCGCAAGCACAGGGACCCAAGTTCGATCCCCAGTACCAAAAAACAAAAAAACCAAAAAAACACAAACCCAAGCACTACACTGACTTAAAAATGCTTCCGCTCTCCCACTTTCCTCTTTCAGCAGATGGAGTGTCTGGGAGTGTCTGAATGAAAAGCAAAAAAGCAAGTAGGAAATGGGCTGCAGGTGTGAGACCCAGCCTCAGAGCCCGTGCCAAGGCAGAAACTGTCCAAGTATAGATCACATCGAAGGCCACAGCAGCTCTGGAGAAGCCCTGACTAGTACTGGATGAACATGAAGCCATCACTTCAAAGACGCTTTTTAGTATAAGATAAAGAATTGTTTAAAAAAATAAAATAAAATAGTAACCACACTCTAATGCTCTGGATACAGTTTGCTATCATACTTAAGAAAAAATAACCTATTAATTTTCAACATCTACTTTTTCTTTTAGAGGCTTGACAAAAATTAGATATGGAAAAATAAATATTCAGCTGACATTCTGAATTCCCTTTCTATATTGTGCACTTCTTCCTTCATGTGCTCTACTCAAAAGATACTCAAATATGTACTGGTCAGAGATGGTCAACATCAAAGTGAAATGCATGTGCTTCTAATCAATGTGGCAATATTGCCTTTTTCTCTCTTTCTCTCTGAAATAAGTGGGGCATGGAGAGATTTGATCTGAGAGTCATGGTCTCCGTGGATATAAATATCTATTTTTGTGTTGTCAAAATCAACCACCCTAAGATGTTCCCTGTAAGAGACTTGGTCTTAGCAGATAGCTCCTGTGTGTGTGACACCTGAAATGCAGGGAATGAAGGACAGGAAGTAGCGAATCACTTGCTTGTAAGCACTCCAAGAAGAAGTTAGATAGGTAATAGATTTCAATAATTTCTCTCTTCTAGTCCTGGGGCAAATAATGATGCTTCAGGGTTACCAGGATAAACTGAGATGGAACCAAATGACAGGACCACTTGTTTGGCTTCATTTTATACAATCTCTTTTACAAGTTGTTCCTGAACAAGATATTTCTCCTGTTTATTTAACCAGTAACTCATTTTCAGTTTCAGGATTTGGTAACTCAAATATGCTTTTATCTCTGAAAAAATGAGATCTTTGTTGGGCATAGAGCTTTTTAAGATTTAATTTATATCTACATACTCTTCAGTGAAGGCCATCCTTGTTAACACTGAGAACTCCCATTTCTTCTTTGGTTATCTGAAGCTAATTAGAGCTGTTGGATTTTGCAGAAGTAATCAATAGTTTTCTACACTGGATCACACAGAATGAGACCCATATGCAATTAGCCCAGTGCAGATACTCAGCGATACCTTAATTAAAACAAAATATGTTCTGTAAGAGATATGCTCTCGTAGATAACTGGCATTTCAAATGCTTCGACATGTTGAATGTGTTTATTCAAAGTAGGAGTCTTTATGGAACTTTTCACTGATCAAATACAGTTGGGTGTTCGATGCATTTACCTTGAAAGCATTCTTAGGTAAACAAAACATTGGTACTGAGTATTATACATCTGTTTATTAACATCTGGATATAAATATATTTCAAACACCAAAAGAGCTCAAAGAGTAGGCCTCTCTCTTGGATTTCATAGACTTTCCGCCCCCTCACACAGTGATCTGCTGAATCTTCCAAGACAGAAGCAGCAGGGAAAGAGATGAGTGTGAAATGTGTACCAGGGTTTCCCCCTCCAGAGCTCTGCAGTATGGGAAGAAAGCTCAAGCTTCCAGCACTCTGTGGAGGAAGGATTTACTCTTCTTCATTCAGTGTGAGAGAAACACAGCCACTAGGATGTGATCACTGCAGACTCTGAATCTCACCTTCTAAACCGGATTTCAAAAGTGCACGTTAGGATTTGTGTGATGCAGGAAGAGAACAATGGGAGAAAATGTGCAGCTAACAAAGCTTGCTGCCTCATCACCACAGCCCTGCCTGTTCTGCTTCCCTGTGCCAACAAACTCACCTCCCCAGGCCTCCCACTGACCCTCTCAACCCACCAACCTTTTCTTTTCTGCAGTCAGCCACAGTCTGTCATGGAGGAATAGAACAAGATACAAGCTGATTCCTGATGATCCTCGGTCCAAACTGCTCCCTACAGCGGTCAAGAGACTACAGTTGGGAATAAAGACAATCCTTAGGGAAACAACTGTGTACCTGGGCATGGGTTGAAAGAGAGGCTGGCACATCCCCATCCAAACTGCCTCTGTGAGAAACCATGAGCACCAAGGTACCAGGTTGTGTCAGCTGGCAATAGTGCCAAGAGATGCTATGCACCATTACAAGTGGCCCCTGGGCTCCTGGCACATATGTGTTTCAAGACACAATTAATAACAAGTCAGGCTGCTCTGTTTCCTCCTGCCTGTCCACAGTCATGTGATGCAAAGCTTCCGGGAAGCATAAGCCTCCTCGGGGACGCTTTGGAAGAGCTGTATTCATAATGTTAATGTCGGAGCTGACACGACTTGTGAGGGGAAAACAAGCTCTGCATATTTTGTATTAAACCGTCAGTACAAAATGAAGATATCATTACTTTCAAAATATAGAAAGCCAATAGTTGAAATCATTGAGTAGTAAAATTTCTCTTCTACATATAACCTTGTAAGTGTAAAGAGTATGAGCGATGGATGCTTCAACTATATTTGACTCTTGTTAGTTTAAGGGCTTCTCACTCAGGTAAGGCTTAGGAGAATTATCAACCAACGATCAAGGTACGTGAGGTTTCACATCCACTCTCCCTATTTTGACTAAAAGGCAGATTCTACACGTAGATGTGACAGGTGCCTTGTGTTCTACATGAGAGCACAGTTTACAATACACAAACAGTGTGAAAGAGGCTAGTAAGTACAGAAAGATGAATATCAGAACAAGTTGTTTTCCACAAAATCCACTCTTGATGAGAACTTTCACTTTGTGGGGAAAAAAAAAAAGCTTGTCATCCATGTTAGGTTGTAGTTTATGCCACTGGAAATCGAAGCCATTACATGAGCTGTGGAAGAATCTTTAGAAATAATAACTCCTCCATTTAGTGAAGGGCAGAGTTAAAACTGTTAAAATCATCATCATATCATCATCATCATCATCATCAAAAACATGGCCCCAGTTTACTTTACAGTCAAGTTTACAAATTGTCCCCTTAAAATACAGCATGCCCCAAACAAAGCCTTTTGAGTTTGGAATGTAGCACTGCCTCAGGATTTCCACAGAAGCCCCTAAGGGTCACAAGAAGCTCTCTTTAAAAAAAAAGTTCCAGTTGGATGAAACTTTTCCTCCACTGAGCTCCTAGAATTGGATTTTTCAGATATACAAGAGGATAGGAAACAGATGACTTTGTTTTTGTCTTTTTACATGTCCACATTGTTTTCTAAATGCAGCTACGATGTTTCTGCCAAAGATAACGATAATAGGATAGACAGAGCTGTGACCACCAGAACCAGCAGTGGGCTCAGACCACAGCCTGGAGGAGCAGCCGTTGATTTTGTGGTTATGTGGCTGGAAGCACCAGCGAGACCATCCTTTTCATAATTGCTCTGTAAGAAAAAGGTTTCATTACCACCCACTGCACATGCCCACTCTCTCATAGCACATTTTAATCACACTCTTTCTCTCTGAAGTCCCACTGGCAGATCCCTTATGAAAGCTGACCCTAGATTTTACCACTGAGCCTTCAACTTGCTGACTTCTAGTTTTATGAGACGGAGCCTTGCACTTGGGTGAGGCTGGATACTTTGGTTGTACCGTCTAGCCCAATGCTTACTGCTTGCTCCTCCATAATGGATTATTAAAATCCATGTGGGGGAAATATTTGAGTTTTTCTGTCTTTGCCCTTCTTCCCCTTTCCACAGTTCACAATGTGCAACATGGAATCTTTCTCTCTCTAGGCAGGACAGGCTGACGAGGGACACTCACTGTCTCTCCCTTCCATGAAGGAGGGCAGGGGCAACCATCTTGGAAGGTGTGCCCAGTTAAGCAGCAGCGCACATAGCAATGTACCACAACTAGCGTCAGAGGTAGAAAGAGCAGGCAGGAACTTAAAGTTTTGAGACGAGGAGCAGAGAGGGCAAGGGGCTTGTGTAGCTCCTCAGTGGGATGGCCCGATCCAGAACGCAGGCTTCAGGGCTCCCATACAGAAGGACTCCTCCATTCTGTCACCACGCCTGCTCAGTCCCATAATGCTGCATCCCTGCCCAGTGGAGTAGGACTGGCACAGGAACAGAACTACCCCTCTCCTCACCAATAAATGGAGGAGAGCAGTGGATCTGCCCTGTCTACCTCTGGAGAGGGCTGTGGAGGTCAGAGGAGCTGGAGACAGAGGGCGTGCACAATAAGTATGAGAGCATCATACATCGTCTCTGTGCTGACCACTTGGCCTGACAGTCCTCACAGAGTCTGGCAGCATCAGAACAGCACCCAAGGTGCTGGGGCTGGTGGTCAGATGATCCCAGGTTAACAGTTTAATTATAACCCTGTGTACTGAGTTCAACTCTGTACCTTGCTCTAAAGGCAGATGTACACAGAGAGTAGCTAAAGTTTTTTTTTTTTTTCTGGACCTGAAACCTCATTGCCTTTGAACCATATATATCATCCCTTGCCCCTGGGCCCAAATGTTGTCTCTAAAAATGCGGGGATACCCAGAAAGAAATGTCACTTACATCAGAAAGACAGAGCTGTGTATTATCCGACACATTGGATTTCAGCTTCTGGGCCTGGAGAGAGAAAAGGGGAAAAGTCTCAAAAATAATAGGGGAGAGTAATTACTGGTGATCAATTAATCAATAGTTTAGGGCAGTGCCATCCAATAAATATGTGAGCTACAACTGTGAGTCCCATCTGTAATTTACAATAGTCTAGTGGCCACCTAATAAAGAGATAACAGGTGAAGTTTATGCAATGATATATTTTATTTAACCCACTACATTACAATTTCAACACATAATCAATACAAAAAATTAACGAGATACTTTACATTACTTTTTGATACTGCATCTTCAAAATCTGGTGTGTTGGACAATGCACATCCATTGAAACCCACCTCATTTCCAGGCTAAACAGCCACTGACATTAGTGACTGCAGAGACAGCACTAGATTACCAAAGGAAAAGTTTTGAAATGGCCTGCCTGCCTACCTGCCTTCCTGCATTCCTGCCTGCCTGCCTGCCTTCCTTCCATACTTTAGGGGATTGAACCCAGGGGAACTCTATCACTAAGCAACATCTACAGCCCTTTTTACCTTTTACTTTGAGACAGGATCACAATAAGTTGCCCAGGTGGAACTCAAACTTGAGATTCTCCTGCTTCAGCCTCCCTTAGTGCCGGCATTACAGGCATGTGCCTCCTTGCCTAGTTCACTTGTATTTCTGTATGTTAATGTTGGGAAGTGCCTCAGAAACTTGAAAATGTTGCAATAAAAATGCTCATTTATTAAGAATGTAGGCGGAGGTCTTCTGGAAGCTTGTCTGTGTGTTCATCTGTTTATTCACTGCTCTAGTCAACAGACACTACTGGGCTTCTACTATTTTCTAGGGCTGGGCACAGGGTGGTGAACAGAAAGAACATGCTCCCTGGGCTCCCAGGGCTTCCCTCTACTGAGTAAACCACTCCCTGGGCTGAAGCACAGGCCAGGGACTCTTTCAAGTGGGACCCTCCAGGAATCCTACAGGGCACTGATTGCATCCCAATCCAGCCGTTCTAAGACTGCTTCCCGGGGAGCTGTGAGAAGGCTGAGCTGCAGAAGCTTCAAGGTTCCTATTTCCCCTCAACCAGACCGACTTTCCACTGGGATCCTGCCTGAGAACTGAGTGGAAAGAAAGGTTCCACTGCTTAAATGATGGTAAGAAAACATTTGTGAAAACTACTCACCCCAAACCAGGCACTTGTTTCACACAGGAAAACAATTAGATGGCACCGAAGCTAAGAGATTCATCTGAGGTCACACAGAAGTATGCTTGTAGAGTCAGCATGCAACCAACTCTCTTCAACTCTTGGCTGAAAAGACGCTCTTTCCTGTATTATGATATTTTCCCAGTCTCCACCCTCCTCAAATCCCACAAATGTAACTACTCTGCGCATGATGCCCATCTTCAAACCCCAGCAGTAAACAACAGCCTTTGGCACCAACAGACAGAGAGCTCATTTGCCAGCAAGATGCACCCTGGTTAAGCATCACCCTGAATCAAAGGGTATTGTGCATGTGGTGCCAGCAGGCTGATTGCCTGTAGCAAGATTTCTGCAACTCCCTTAAGTCATACTAGGCTGAATAATAGCATGTTCACCCAAGAAGTAATTTATTGACCATAATGCCACTTGGAAAGCATCATAATCTTTGCCTATATTTGCATATGCCAACTGTGAATATGAAATGGAAACCTTTAAATAGGCTTCAAGAATAAGACACTATGAAGCATCCCAGGGCTGTTCAAAGGTCACTAAATGTTATGTATAAGAATATCAGGGGGGAAATTGGAAGAGGAATTATACCTCACTCAAAAGCCTACTTTTAATCTATATTAATAGCAAATCTGGTCCATTACATTGTTCCTTGAGATCATATGTAGAATTTAACATGTTTCATTTCTATTGAAGATTGGATTTGTGCCCAGAGACCTAAATGACCCTAAAAGATCTCATTCTGCCTTCTTTTTTAGGCCATATTCTGCAAAAGAGGGAAACCTTTGCTAAGTGCCTTTGCATAAGTAATACGTTCACTAAATTGGACAGAGAAGGCAGCATGACCTCTACACTGGGGCACATTGTGTCCTCAAGTTGTTCCTGTGTCCAGTCATGGTTAAGTGGCACCCCGGTGTCCTGGGCCACAGTGGCCTCTGAGAGGACGTAGGTGGGCACGTTTCTTCCCACTTCACCCTGCAGGAGCAGAGCCAGTGGACAGTGATTTCCTCTCGACATACAACCTGTGAGTCTCAGCAGCTGTATTTCTGTCACTTCAGGAATCTCAGGCAGGGCTGGGGAATCTCCCCCTTATGGTATATTAATGTATGTGCTGGCATAGGGCACAGGGTCCTTTCCATGAGCCCTGCAGCCCTGCTCGTGGTGGGACATGCAGGGACACAAGCTGAGCTCAGCCAGCTATACCTACCTGGACATAGAGTTTATGGTTTGTAGTTCTAAAATGAAAGTCTCTTTTGAAAAAAAGGAAAAGAGCATATTTCACTTTTCTAAGAATCAACTTGAACCATTATTTAGTATACTGAGAAGATGAACTGTTTAATCTCTTCTATGAGTGTTTCCAAACAGTTAACTTACGGTTATGTGGTCTAAAGGAAGGTGCCTAACTCTGTAATGGCGAGACATCACCACAAAGACAAAGGATCCTGAGGGCCGCATCTTGAGAACAGAAAAATGCCAAGCCATTTGGAGAAGACTGTACCCACAGAAGCCTTCCCCCCATTCTGGAAACCCAGGGAAACCTACTTTAGGGTCTTCATGAGTCTTGTCCCTCCAGCAGCTGTTGCTGTTCTGCTATAAAATTGTCACTGGTAATAATCCATGAGTCCAGGCATGTCACAAAATAGAATTTCCAGGGCCCTGTAATTGTGAGACCAGACCTCGCCAGTCCCTGGCACCAGAGGGTTAATAAATGCATTAGATGCCGTTAACCTCTGTTACCTGGAGTCAGAGCGGAGCCTCTCCTGCCTTTTACCCAGTGATTAGCATTTGGAAAGCCAGTCCTGGGGCCAGTGGCGTTCCTGTGCAGAACATACAGGCACACACGTAATTTATGGCCCACACTCAGGTCCCCACCAAGTTCTGCCTGCAGTGGGCTCTCCTGGACCTCGGGGCCAAGTCAGGCTTATGAGCAGCAAGCTTGCTCTGTTTATGGAATTGGAGACTTAAAAGCACGCTCACTCAGAGCCTGGCCTTTGCTGCCCCAGGACTCCATTTCTGTAGAGAAGCCAGTGTTTAATCTCGGGCTTTTAGGCAGCTGTCAGCCAGCAGGGCATAGAACATTTTTCTGCTCTCCTCCATGCAAGAGCAAAGCTGTTTTCTGCCCTACCTCCAGAAAATAAAACCAGAGGAAGCTGCACAATCCAATAGCGGCAGACTGTCCAGGCTACAGCCAAATGGTCATAATTAATGATGCTCTGGTTCTTTTCTCCCTTGCTTTACTGATTAGAGAGATTTGCTATATTAGGAACCTGTTTGCTTAATGACAGAATACAAGCAATAAACAGAGAAATACACAGACTGTAAAATGCAATCAACTTTGCTCTCCAGCACTTACTAAGTACCTCGCTGCATCTATCACACTTGTCAATACCAGTTTATTAGCATACGAGTCTCCTCTACAACATAAATTGGACTTTTTCTAGGGGAAACCATTGCATGAGTTCTTTGGGAAATAGTTTGGAATCAAAAGTCCAGAACTTGAAACCGTTTCTCACTTTAAATCTGCATGTCTTGTGTTTAAAACAAAGAAAGAAAGGTACCTACCTAATCCTAAAGGGTAACTGAGCAGAGTAACTTGCCACAGAGTTTGCATTTTTCACACTGTGTTTGAAACAGACACTCCCAGTTATAGATTTTTATGGGTTGCACTTATTATTCTATTACACAAGTCTATTGTATACTTGATACGTATTTTCCCAAACTAATTTCTGCACATAAAAAGAAGACAGAACAAAGAAGCTGTCCAAGAGTAAATCCATGCTAAGTCATGGCAGGTTCCAGAATGTTCTGGAGGCTTCTACTCTTTAGCTTTTTCTGGATTTTGTTATTGACTTTTGGGAGAGTCAGAGAGATTTTATTGCTGGTTTGGTCAAAAGCAGTTGACTAGCTTTCTAAAATCCCTGCCACTATTTATTTTGAAATTCACCTTCCAGGTGATTTGCGTTTCCTACAAACTGGGTAATGACTGCTTGTAGCCACTGGTCTGAATAATGTGCAGTGAAGTCAGCTGAGTAAAACAAGTGGACACATAAATAAGGCCTGCTCAGAGCCTCTGGGCCCGGGTGTTTGTCTTTCAGCGCCTGTGCTCAGCAGGGAAGGAATCCATTTCCTCCAAGCTGAATTTTGCCAGGAGGAAACAAGGGCTATGAGGGAGCCAGGACAAGCTAGGACTTTGTCTTTCCATGAAGAGACTGGCAGTAATCCTGAGTGGCTTTTCGACTACCTCTCCTGGGACTGACAGGTCTCCTCTACCTACTCTTCCCCAAAACACTTTGTCTCCATGTTGCCTGAATCTCAGCCAAAGGCTTTCATCCCATTAAGCTTTAAAAAGGTCTTGTAAACGTTCTTTACTTGGTGTGGTGTTCAGGAATGCCCAAGAGTACCAAGTTTGGTCTGGGAAAGTTGTGCCTGGTCATAGGACAGAATTTAAGGCCACTGAGACCTGCAGTGGTCTTCTCCCTGGAGGAAGGACAGCACAGCTGGAGTCAGGCAGAGTTTAGAGGTCTTCAACAACATGTGTACCATGGATTGAAATGAAACCAGATGGAGATATAGCGGTCATAGTCTTAAAGGTGACGTGTAGAACTGTCCCCTAGAGTCTGGAAGGCTTTAGGTTCCTGACATCCATGGGGGAGTCATGGTTTATGCCATTGAGTCTGAGTTTATTGCTAAGCTTACAGCAGAAACCTTTTCTGCTGACTGGATTGAAGCATGGGCCCTTAAGTGGTCAATTGAGAAATTAAGTGAAAGGGCAAAAATCATTTGAAAATGAAACATTTGTGTAAAACTCTAAAGTCTAACT